CGGACCAATATTGTCTCAAGAAGTTACCGAATAATTAAAGGTTTGGCGCCTACCGTAATTCGCATTTGGTTGTGCTTCGGTGAGAGGTCACGTTTTTTCGCCCGTTTTTAGTGTAATATTTACATTTGTTTGGCTTTGTCAGCGCTCGTGATTTCATTTACCCAAAAATTTTATTTCGCTAATTTGAAGAAAAAAGAATGCTCTTTCAGACTAAGCAAGTCTTGGTGTTCAAAGCCATGTACCAATCCGCTTTTTTTAATAGCTCGTGAAAAAGTGCTAAATTTTGACGGTTGATCAAGCGATTTTGAGTCAACGACTTTGAAAATTTCTTTAAAAATCTCTTGTTGACCAAATCGCGAACTAATCAGTTAAAATTATAGAGGAAAGATAATACGAAGTGTCATTATATTTTAGTAGCCAACTTTATTTTAAAATTTACGAGTTACTGAATATGACTCTAATTTCGCATGATTTTTGCCCATTTTAGGCCTCGGGAAGAAAAAAAATTCGTTAAAAAAATGTTATTCACTCGATCGTACTTAAACCAACGATTTTGTAACTAGGGCCCATAGGGCTTTATTCTGGCTTAGTTTGAAGCCAGGTCATTTTTTGACTATTTCCACGTGTAGTTGATATTTACGCGTAGCCGCTCTTAAGCCTAAATTCGGCAGAAAATATGAATATTTAGCCTAGTCCAGAAAAACAACATCATAAAATTATATCCTATCGAAAATCTCCGCCTCGGGTTTATTCTTATAATATTCTTAAAATTCTGCAAATTTCAGCCTCGATATTCTTATAAAATACATTCTAACAGCGCGAATTTACCGATAATTTAGGAACAAACACCGTTTCTTGTTAGGGTGTGAAACTGGACATATTGTTTTAACCCATGATTACGTTGTCAACAGTCAAACCTTTTATATTGACGTTCAATTTGCATTTAGAATAATAGCTTGACCAATTCCGTTATACAGGCATAACTGAAGATGTACAGAGGTCTGAGAGTGTACCCTGGACAAATTGCCGTCTTAGGGAAGTTGTAGGTGAGCAGATTCCCAGAAACATATAACAAACATCTTCCATAAGCCGTCCCTGAAAGTGGCTTTTATTCGTAACATTGACCACGGTCAATGGTAGGTTGATTTGTCTATGCAGGTAGACAACTCCGCGAGAGCCGCAATCCTGGCTTCAGCCAATTATATATTACTTACCTTTGGTTGTTACTAATACCGTATCATAGTTCCATTTGTCTCTATCTTTGACGTGTTCATGTAAGTCACTGACAGAGTAAACTCGAAACTCTAGGAAACTACCAGGAGACAAGCCATTTATTGTCACAGTACCATTTGTGATGTTGTCCTTATTTGGTTTGTACCGTACACTTGAACCACAAGAATCATTGCATTCGTTGTATTTCCTGGACTTGCATCTGAAGCAGTCCACAGAATATCTTAACTTTCCATCAATGTCATCAGGTGAACGTTCCCACTTTATCTCTGCATAAGTTTCCTTCACAACATTGACAGAAGCATTTCNATTGTCACAGTACCATTTGTGATGTTGTCCTTATTTGGTTTGTACCGTACACTTGAACCACAAGAATCATTGCATTCGTTGTATTTCCTGGACTTGCATCTGAAGCAGTCCACAGAATATCTTAACTTTCCATCAATGTCATCAGGTGAACGTTCCCACTTTATCTCTGCATAAGTTTCCTTCACAACATTGACAGAAGCATTTCTTGGTGCCTTTGGTAAAGCGGCTGAGAAAGGAGAAATTTACATCAGTTAGCATAATCTTAGAGATTCCTATTAAGTGGCTACGTCACGCTATTTGCTATCTTTCTAAAACTCTAAATCGTAACTTTACGTCAGTCGGATTCGCAAAAACAACAGTAGCGTGGTTTTTTAACATTTTAATTACTGGAATGAAACTCAAGAAAATTAATCCAATACTTGTTTCAAATGAAGCTAAAACGTAGATACCTTGATCCGTGTTAAAATCACTTGCCTGTTCCTAAGCAAACTCAAGATATAACGGGATGTTTTTCTCATTAAAAGATAACCCTGTTCTATTAAAGAAATTTTCGGAACTTGCAAACGTCTTTCATAAGCCGTCCCCGAAAGTGACTTTAATTCGTAACATTGACCACGGTGAATGGTAAATTGATTTGTCTATGCAGGTAGACAACTCCTCGAGAGCAACAATCCTGGCTTCAGAAATTTTTGGAAATCACAAACGTCTTCCATAAGCTTTCCCTGAAAGCGGCTTTAAATTTTTTATCACTGACCACGGTGTATGGCAAGTTGATTTGTGTGAGAAGCAGGTAAGACAACACGATGGCCGCAGTCCTTGCTTCAGCGACTGATTATATATTACTTACCTAACTAATACCGTATCACAATAACTTGCTAAGAAAACGAAAAATACCTGCACTATAGCTATTGCCAAGTGTTCAATAAATGACTTGGATGAACAATACATACAGTATACACCACGAAGAAAATAAATGAATTAAGGCGCAAAAAAGTATCATTAAAACAAATTCTTTCTTTTTGAAGAAAAATGCAATAATATTTTCTGCCTAAAATCGGCAGAAAAACAAGAATATTCCGCCTGGGCAGGAAAAACATAATTGTTGTTATGATTTATGACAATGATGAAAATTATTATAGCAGTTTACAACGTATACATGCTTTGAAAATTAGCCACACAGGTCGCAAAACGTAGGCTAGTATGCTGTTTTAGAGAAATTCAACACTAAAAAGGTGATAACGAGTTGAATCTACACTGGTGCAATAAAAAAGAAATCCTAAGGAATCTCTATCAATGCTTTACAACTCTCCCAATGGCCAATGTTGGGTTCACATTGGGTATGTCAAGACGAGCAAGGCGAACGAGTTTGTTGCCCTAAGTCGCGGCTGGCGTCGGACAAAGGGCTTGTCCAGATTAACGAGGGCGTTTTCAAGTACATCTTTGCTGCAACTGTAAATGTGTAAGTGATAACTTCTCGTCTTCCATCACGGACTCTCTCACACGCAGGAACTTGTACTTGGCGCCAGTCTTAAGTTTCTCGACGACAGTTGCTTTTTCAGGTTTGAGGTCTTCTTGAGCAAAGCAGTAGAGCTAAGAGGGCCCACCATTCTCACTGATCAACTTTCTTGTCTCTCTATCAATGCTTTGCAGCTCTCCCAATGGCCATTGTTGGGTCCACATGGGGTACGTCAAGACAAGGAAGGCGAACTGGTTTGTTGCCTCGACGCGGTTGGTGTCGGACAGAGGGCCTGTCCAGATTATTGAGAGCCTTTGCAAGTAGTCTTTGCTGCAACTGTAAGTGCTAATTTTCTCGTCTTCCATCACGGACTCTCTCAGGCCCAGGAGCTTGCACTTGGTCTCAGTCTTAAGTTTCTCGACCAGAGTGGTCTCGTCCAGTTTGAGGTTTGCTGCATATTCAACTTGCTTGCCCTTTCTGACATAGATAACTCTACGCTCATTTGGATTACACTTCTAGCCCACATCCTGGAGGTTAGCACTCATCTCCATACTCCAAACTGAACATTTCCCTCTCAGTGGCTCTCTCAAGAAATTTCCCTTTTCCAACATGAAATTTCTATGTCTTTCTATGTCTCTTGAAATTCCTGCTTGATAAAATGTTCATGAAAGTTCAAGTCTCTTCAATAGTTTAAGGGAAAAAATTCCAGGATCATCATGGCACTAGCAGGATTCGATTCCGGAGAATGGAATCTGTAGTCCACCCCCCAAACCACTAGATTACCAAGGATTTGCTGGGAAGAAGTGGTTTGAGTTGGAAGTATATAGCACCAACCTTAACCCTAAATAGAAGTTAACCGTTTTTCGAGTCAGTGCTTACCCCTATAACCACTATTCTCAAGGCTTAACCCTAATCAGTATTGATCAGTGCTTAACTCTAATCACCATTCTCAGGGCTTAACTTGCTGTTCCTCCCATTGTAGAGAATTACTTTTGTATGAATCATAATGTATCAACGTGGAGATGAGTATTAACCTATCCTAGTTGATCGTAGTACCCTGCTTAGCTTGATCTAAGAAGCGAATACTTAAAGGTCGTCTACATACAGCCAGTGGGTCACCTTAGTCCCTATAAGCTTAGAAAGCCTCATCCCTTGGTAACATTTAGTTTCCAGGCAAGCGGGTTTTAGACATAAAGTGACGAGACGCAGGCAAAGTGCGTTTTCCTCGGGCAGACCCCAGCTGAATCTGATGGTCGAAGAAGTCTCATTCCTCTGCTTTGTAGGAACTGCGATTCTGGTATTTCAGCTTGCACAGGGGTTTTGGATCGCCCTACAGAGCTATCTGGGGAACCGGTGTAATTCCATAACCTCGTTTGGCCACTTGATCAACGGATACTCATTCTTAACATCCACCCAAGCCATGCTTAAGTTCCGTTTACCTCGATGGCAATCCTGTATGACCATTTTATCGATCATTATTGTTATTATTATTATTACTATTGTTATTATTATTATTATTATTATTATTATTATTATTACTATTGTTATTATTATTATTATTATTATTATTACCATTATCATTATTATTATCATTATCATTATCATTATCAATTTATCATTATCATTATCATCATCATTATTATTAAAAACTCTGTGAATAGTCTTACTTACACTCTAAAGAATAAACGATCGTGACTTCAGATATATCCATGGTGTTGTCAGTTTTGTGCACTTGACATTCAATGGTCACATTGTGACCTGTTGTTTTCTGTGGTAAGGTGCGTTTTATACTCAAGCTGCTACTGGAAATGCTTACAACCTGAATCCTCTTGTCTTCCAGAAGCTGACTTTCCGTTTTCCAACATTTCCTGTCTTTGTTACAGTAACCGATGTCTCCTTCGGCTCCTTTTACTCTCCAATACATTTCATAGTATTTGCTTGGGTCCTTTTTGGTTGCATCACAATCCAGTGTCTGAATATCACCTGTGATGGAAAGCTCTTGCCGTGTTATGGCAGAACCTGTAAAATATGTCACAAAAATGATGTGATACTAACTTTAAAGGGTCTGTGAGGGTTTTTTTTAATTCACTATAGAATTTTACCATTAAAATTGATTATTCTTTACTGATGAGATATTAAACAGTCGGATCCCATCCTGAGATGAAAAGGAACAAAAAATAAAATAAAATAAATAAATAAATAAATAAAAAATGCGGACATTGCAAAATGTAAAAAAAAAACTGTTTGAAAAATGTGCGTAAGGTATTTATGCCGACGCCATTAAAAATACGATAACTTATTTGCGTCTGAACGTTTACGAGAGTTTCTCAGTAAGTATGTCTCAGTATGTTTATAATGAATCAAGATAATTGTTAATCATTCTGTATTGAGTAGTCAATTCCTTTTACTGCTGTACGAGCCTCAAAATTCTTTTCTTATTTTTGTTTTATTGTAAGTTTGACGAGGTTGCCAATCCTGTGGTATCTACCGTCAAATCTTGTTTCACTCGATCATAGTGAGAAGGATGGGCTCCTGAGTGAATAAATTGCTGTTTTTACTTTGTTTCCTGTATTGTAAAAAGGACTGCATTGATAGCAAAAATGTCTGGTTTCTTGGAGGTCGCTATTACCTACACTTTTCACAGTCCCCTTTGCGTAAGATCGTCGATCAGGATCGAGCGCTTACCCGCGCGGTACGTGTGGCCATCTTAGTTTCATATATGTACAGAGGGGAAGGGCGTCGAAATTTTGACGCAGTCGGGGAAAGGAGGCGAGAAACATTTCTTTTCAGTTATTTTTCCCACTTCCTCCCAAACTAAGTTGATTTGAAGCTCATCCAAGATGGCCGCCCGTAACACAATACGCAATAGCAGGCCTGGCCTGTGAACAGTCTAGCTATTACCATGATCACACTTTGCCGGAAATGCACCGGGGAAGGGAATTTCTCGGGAGAACTATACAGACAGGAAGTTCCCGTTCAGTGAGGAATTCATGCGATCGGAGAAACATGTAAAACATCATTCCTACCTGATATGTAATGAAGCAAATTTCGTGTTGGGAGAGCATAAAATAGCAATTTAACGAAACCATGTATCACTTTCACTTTCACAGGCAAACTAATACATATATATAGTACATTAGATACATCATATTAATACGTAACTGTTAGTGTATACTCTAGTCTGCCTTCTCGCGTCTCCGACAGTTTTCAGACTCTTATCAGCTTTTAGACAGCATAGTTCAGTAAAACACTTAACAACCGTCTGTTTCAGAGCGTACTAAATTGAAACTGCTGTAGACCGGCGCTGGAAATGGCCCAACGATAATTAGAATTGACAGACCGTACATAACCTATTCTCAGGCAACGGCAAAGCGATACCTTTCATCTTATATACAAAAGTTTTGAACTGTCAAACTAGTCAGTATTTTGTGCAAAGAACTGCTACTAACAGTTATTGCTTTCACCCGGACACTAAAGGCCCCGCTAAAGTAGGATTCATGGAGCCCCCTTTAAAACCCTCCCAGATCAATCTATTGTAACTATATTTCATAAATGCCATTTAAATTTTTGTAAATTCACAGAGAGTTAAAGACTGAATAACCTATAAACTGTTTCGATGAAGCTTTGAGAATATCATGCTAACGAAAGAAAGATCAACCTTAAATCGAAAGTACTTTCATATACGTTTGCATGATCTTTGCCTGAGTCAAAAGATTCGCTTAAAGCTTGGTTTCAGTATTCCAGCGGATATTTACAGTTTTCGGCTTTAATAGTTCAGATGGTCAAGCGACCCTTTTTTTTGATCACTCTGAAAGGGAAGACGTACATCTCCTCTTATATTTTCAAGTTCTGCTCAGTGGGCGAGAAATGGCGATCACATATTACCACAGGCGGCCCAGACGTAGTATGTGTCACTGAATGAATATATTAATATTCACATGGACAAATTAATGCGATGAGTCGTCGAAACTCCAGTGAACTAAAATAGTCCAAAAATCAAAATATAAGAAAATAAAGCTAAGATACCTTTAACTGAACGTATCCTTGTATTTCCTGGCCGGTTAAAGTGGCATTTTGTTGAATTTTGCAATTGTAGGTACTATCCACTAAAGAAGAATTAAAGGCTGGCTACAAAACAAACGGACCTTCTCCACGCGCCTTCACGCGAAGCGCTATAAATTGGAGAATAATCAACGAATCCGCTCCAAATTGCCATTGGCTAATCTGCAGGTAACGTGTGCTCCGGTTCCTTGCTCGCTTGCTCCACAAAACCCATCGCAACTGCACAAGAATCGCTCGCTCATCAACAAACACTGTTGACCTTTACGCTTCGATATGACCGCGAACTACCAGGTATAATACGCGACGTGAATATTCAAGCTTAGCGACCGCGTCCGCGCGACAATGCAACACTTTCAATGGGAGGGATGGTACTATT